GACGGCTTCGACAGCAACGGCAATGGCACCGCATACTTTGAGGGGGCACTTGAGTGTGTCGATAATGACGCCATTACGTACCAGATGCACCTCCTTGCCTGTACGGATGTGTAGTTACGAAAGGCGAAATATAACATGGCCATGGTTAAAGAACAGTCATCAGGAAACGGGTTCAATAAAAAAATGAAATCCAGTACCCAGGAGACAAGGCCTGTGTTTTTCTTGGTCCACGCGAACGCTATTCGCACTTACCGATTAGGCGGTGATGGTGGTGGTGATCATTGTTGAGCGCATTGAACGTCTGCTGGCCAATGGGATCGGCTGCATCCCCCGCCCTTTGCCCTAGAACGGAGGGCGTCGAGGCGAAATAGGCAATGCCTGCAAAAGCCACAAAAGTGGCTTTGCGCTGCGAAAAGATCTTCATCTAGTGTGGTTGGGGAGGAAAGGAGTGATGGGTAAAATGGTTGAGCTGGCCGAACACTTGGGGGAGGATATGAAGGTAAAGATATGTGTCAGAGAGATGTCTGTGGGGAGATAATGGGCTAGGATGGTCTGACAAAGAAATAAAAAATAGAAGGAAGGCCAACAACGAGTTAATATATATATTCAAAAAAACTTGGGCAACCTGGAGACAAGCGATTGATTAGATAGTTCAATGACTTAAGAGAGCGCCTAGTGTTTACAAGGAGAAAGAGATAAAGAGGGGAGGGAGGAAAGACTCTGGTCAAGGACACCATTGCGCTTATCATGAAAACAGTTTACTCTCCTTTTCCGACGACGGAAGGATTATTCTGACTAGAACTAATGGGTCATTTTCCATCTACAGAATCTTGGTGGCCCTGAAGTGGCGTTTCTCACTCCTTTTTTTTTCTTATTGTGACATTGATGGGGTATGTCGCTAAACACTCAGACTCCTAAAACGAGGATGGGATTTTTGAATTTGGCGGGCACACCAAATTCTTTCGATTCTCGAGCAAGCAGTCGAAGATTAAAATGGGCAAATGGAGAAAGGTCAAACGCTATATTGCGAAAAAATGCCCAGACGCCTACGATGGTCTATGGTGCTTCCCCCTCCTTTTCTCTTTTCCTCTCCTTTTCCTTCTCTCCCTTTCCCTCTCTCCCTTTTCTCCTATTTTCTAGTCTCGCTCTCAAAATGAGCGAGCATAGAACAGTAACTACATCTCTTCTTTCTTTTCACACCGAATCATGTCCACCCAGACACAAAGAGCAGAGATAGAAGGTGACTATCTCCCTTCTCCCTCTCTCCCTTTCCCTCTCTCCCTTTCCCTCTCTCCCTTTTCTCCTATTTTCTAGTCTCGCTCTCAAAAATGAGCGAGCAACCACATCTCTTCATTCTTTTCACACCGGATCATGTCCACCCAGACACAAAGAGCAGAGATAGAAGGTGACTATAGCTAATAAGTCGAAATAAAAAAAGGGAGGATGACAGATCAAAGCATAACTACTTCACCATCACCTAGCACATCACAAACGAGAAATTCCGTTCCCTCCCATTTCACTCATGGTCCGAATCCGCAGTGGTGACTTGGAAGTCTGTCCTCGTTCTCATAAATGAAGAGGAAAGATGAGAAAGAATGGTCTGTATGATCTTTTCGAACCATTGCTCGTCTATTGAACTGCAAGCCCGGCCATATGCAAGTACGGACGACCACTACGTTGACCGACTTGGCTATCCCTCTACTCCAAACTACTTGTTATTGTTGCTTTTCTTTCCACCGAGTTTGTATGTCACATATCTTGTGTTTCCCTAAGTTTGCACTGTTCCCTTAGTTGACATTCATTGCCCCTGTTTGTTATGTGCCTCCCTAATTTGCACTGTTTCCTTTGTTGCCCTTGTTGTTTTGTGCCTCCCTATTTTGCTACGTGCCTCCCTGATTTTGCACTGTCGCTTGGGTTGACATTGCTCTGTGCCTCGTAATTCTGAATTCGCGTAATTCTTGCACTCTCCTCTATGGATTTTGTTTGTGCCTCCTTGACTTTGCACAGTCCCCTGAATTGACAAGGGTTTTCTACAGATAGAATCCTCTGCCCTTCAGGTTTTCCCACACCCTTTTCAGTAAGTTACCGTAGACTGCCCCCTTTGGAAATAAAGGGATACAACTAGGACTACTCGACATTCTCTCTAGGCAGTTGAGCCACAAGGCGAGCCATGAGATCGATTTGGCGATGACATATATGGCGATCGAGACTTTTTCTACGGCCTAAAAGGAATGAGGATGGCGCTGCACTGGAAGGAGATATACTAGAGGAATCCAGGGATTGCTGTGATGAGGATGAAGCATAGGCAAGGAATGTCGGGGTTAAGTCATATGGACGCTTTTTGAAACTATTTTACATGCTGTCTCACGATGGATGCCGTCCGTGTAAAAGGAACCGCCGACTTAAACAGCCTCTACCAAATAGAGTACCAGTACATACAATCTTCGGTTAATACCTCTTGTGCTGCTGCAGCGGTGGTACGACAGAGTATAAGCACCATCATTCGAAAATGGTGGAGAAGGCAATCCCATCTTGTCTCCTCCTCCCTTCCTTTGCCCTCACGAGAAACATACAGTCGTGTGATTACTCAAGTTAGGCGTAGTCTTTCAGAGACGGAAACCCTCATCTTCTAGTTTTAGGATGGCCAGGAAACCTCAAGTACCTAGACGAGTCAGAGGCGGCGAGGCACCAATCAGTCTACTTTTACAAACAAGAACCTGATGAAAAAGGAAGTACTGGCACTCCCGCCTTTGTTACCGCCAAGGCAGAGTTCAAAACAAGTTGTGTTTAATGTTAGCACACTAATGGATGAGTGGAGGGCATAAGCATGCCTTCTTGGGACACACTTGGAGAGGAGATACTATCAAACTGTGAAGTGAAATTTCTTCGAACTAACACTTTAATGAGGCTCATGCACACAGTATGATAGGATTAGAATAGTACCCGCGGCTTTGCTCGCGGAGGTGTGGAGCAGGTGTGAAGTGATGAATATTAAAACATTTATGGTTAGCGTTGCCGAATATAATGACGGCTAAAGCCTATTATTCGACAACGCCAGGGACTCTAAATGTGTGTATCTTTCTTTTACTATTAGCCGTGACTTCCGAAAAAAATGAAAACAAAATAAAGGGGACTCTAGGTGATCTGTTGATCTCTATCTACTTGCTAGAAAAGGGCGGGTCGGGTGGGACAACTAGAGTCCCTGGCGTTGTCGAATATTAGGCTTTAGCCGTCATTACATTCGGCAACGCTAATCAATAAATATTTTCCCCTTTTGAAGTCAAAACACATGCAAAATGAATGAGGAAAACTCCCAGGTCGGCAACACCTCTAGCCCTTACACACCAAAACCTGGGAATCGAGAAACCGGCGCAGCGCCCGCGGCGTAGCTGGGGTCACTTGCTAGTTATTGTACTATTACTGAAATTATGGACTTTTCGCTTATAGTTCAGAGGCGATATTTCACTATCATGACGATACAAGCAACTTCACGTTGAGCGATGCAGACCAGGCGTTGTACAACGAGGCTGCAGCCTTGTTCAAATCAATGATTGGTCCCTACACCCTCTTGTCTCTTTCCCTTGCTATTATCCTTGCCTCTTGCCTTCCTTCCTTGTCATCACCCTTGCCTCTTCTCTCTTGCTCTGCTCCTATTACAATATTATTACCTCAAAAAACGGAGGGAGAACCTTTCGTTCAAGTTCACCCGCCACACCTTTGGACCTAGAATGGGAATTAAACTTCCCAGAAACACCTTTTATAAAATGCTCGAGCGAGAGGATAAGGTATTTTCACATAACTAGCTGTCAAGAACTGTATATATCCTATGTAATTAATAGACACTTCTTCTGCTTGTTCTTTAACGTTCAATAGATACGCTCGGCTGCTAAAGCACTCCCGAAAGGCGCTCATTACATTGTCAAGCGGAAGGATATGGTGCTTGAGCAGGTCGTGCTTCATTGGCTGCATGACCAACGTAGGAAGAGTGTTCCTGTATCCGGCAAGTTGATGCAGGTTGCAGGTCATTTCGCTTGCACAGTTCTTTGTGACTTGAGGGATGAATCGGATGGTACCCAGTCCAAGGAGCCACTATCATTTTCGGCTTGGTGGCTTGACGAATTCAAGAAATGGTATCACATCTCGCATTGCCAACTTCATGGAGAGGCAGGGGAGGTCGACCTGGAGGCTATCGAACCCGAGCTAATCGAAATTCGCCAGCTTTGCGCCCAGTACACCCCTGACAACATTTTCAACTGTGAAGAGACTGGGATGTATGTGAAGGAGCTGGACACCAAATCGTATACGAACCCAACTTCCACGTCAGGCGCCAAGGCAATCCGGGACTGCAGAGTATCCGTTATGTTTTGCATCAATGCTTCTGGAACATCTCTCGCTATGGCCAAGAAAAAAGGTTTATTAATGCCACTAGTTATCGGTAATATATGATGTTCTGTATGAGTGACTTATATGTGAATGACCTTGGCGACATATCTTTCTTCAGATCTTAATCCTTATGACTGTTTTGGTTCATATTAGGTGAACACATCCCCAGAGACGTTGAAAAGGAGGCTGCCGCAAAGATGACCATGACGAGAACAAAGAAAGGGTGGATGGACGGCGAGGTATTTGTACGCTGGCTACAAAGGTTGGACGATGACCTTGACCAACCCACTCTTCTTCTGATGGACTCTGCAGGAGCGCACAATAACGTCGATATGCGCGACCCTTATGGAGGAGTGCCTTGGAGGCATCTTCACATCCGGCGACTACCCGTCAACTCAACTTCGGTTACCCAACCTCTCGACGCGGGCGTCATCAGTGCTTTCAAACGAGTGTTTCTGGAGATGCTTGGCTTTGAAACATGTTATGCTCGAAACTTTGACCAAACGACAAATATCTCCAATGGGCATGCCTGGTCACTGGTCCCGTATGCATGGGATCATATGAAGCCGTCCACACTACGCAACTGCTTCGCGAAAACCCCAGTCCTTCCAACACAAATGCGCGATCATCTCCAACAACAACAGCCAACAAAGGAAGAGCAGCAACGGCCGACACCTCGGTACACTCAACATGAAAAATACAAGGAGCAGGAAAAGGCGTATTTCGAGCATATCATTGCCGAGGTCGGGGTGGAGAACGAACTGAATTTCAGATTGGAAGAGAGTAAGGAGGAGCTGACTGGGAGTGCGCTACAACAGGTAGATGTGGATGGAGGAGGGCAAGATGCAGTGGGCGGAAATGGCGATAACGTTGGCGAGGCAAGTCACAAGAGCTCGCCCTTGTCGGACACCGACATCGGCACGACCATCCAAACACTGAAAGACTTGGCGGGCGACAGTGATGTTCTCACGACCGATGGCTTTAAGCGAGTTCGACTGTGCGGAACACGACTCAGGAGGAATGCAGGAGATTGGAAAGAGTGTAAAGCAACTCGTACGAGCATGTGCAGCCGCCAGAAACAAAGCGTTGGCCTACATGTCGTTCTTGGACATGCATGCGTCATTCATCACGTGCGCTATATATCCGTGACGGTTTTTCTGGTTTTAGAATAGTGCATTTATGGAAGCAATTCAGTCCGTTTGATTTTTTTTTCGGGTACTCTCTTCGGTGACGTAATTCTCGCGCCCTGCTCCCTCAGTCACCATTTGTTGCCTTTCTTCCTTTCTGCCACCATTCCCACACTTCCAACCTTACCTTTCCACCACGCGCTTTCTTCACCGCCTTTACCATCACTCGATTCCTTTCCTCACTCTTCCTCATCTTGTCTCTTCCCCATCTTTTTCCTCTGTTCGACTTTACTGTCAGTTTGTTTCTCACCGCCCCTATTGCTATTTCCACACCTATCGCATTTGCCACCGTTCCCACACCTTTTTTATCCCATCTTTCCCTTTTACACCCACACCCCCTTTCCTTTCGACTTCCTCATATCCTTTACTATCCAGCCTTCTTCACCCCATTTTCACTGATACTTCACAGTCCATGGCCGAAGACCTTACCCTGTTCTGTCTTATTGATGGGCAGTCGATATCGAACGCCTTCTCTGTCGAGATTAACCCCAAAAAGACAGTCGATGGCCTCAAGAAGTCCATTAGGAACGAGAAGCCCAACGAGTTTCGCGATGTCGATCCAGACGAGCTCACCCTCTGGCGCGTCTCAATCCCAATCACCGACGAGGATGACGAAGTTCCCATCGTGCTCAACTTCTTCGATGAGAAGAAGAAACTCGGTCCAGCAACTCGTCTCTCCAAGGTGTTCCCTGAGGACCTTCCAGAAGAGACGATTCACATCATCGTTCAACGTCCTCTGCTGCCGCAATCAGGTAATATTCTAATGCGCTTTGCTGGTCCGGAGAATTGGCTAAGAATCTACACATAGTAACTGCGCCTTGTTTTACCATCTGCAAATGTATAGATGACCTCAATCCCGAAATCGCTGCACTCCGCAAGCAGCTGTCCGACATGCAAGATTCCTCTATTAGTATGTAGCATCAGTTCGGGTGTCATCATGACCGTCTATGTTCCCTTCATTGATAACAGTCATGCTGACGTCATTTTTATATGTAATAGCTATTGGAATTATCGTCAAGCCTGAGAGAAAGGTCATATGCAACTGGTCTGCCGCGATTGATACGGTGACTGTGAGTGACTTGATGAAGGTTCTCGTTGAGTTTTATCCACAGTACGATCACGACGACTATGTGGAATTACATTTCTACATCACGCGCAGCAGCCCGTCGGAACCCATACGCGATGACGAGGACCTGCGCAGAGTACTCAGGGTCGCCAAAACTCAATCCATGAAGCAGCTGACCATATCACTGGCTACACCAACCAAGGGTTTCTCCGCATGGACATTCAAGGATGTCGTTTCTGAGTATAACCTCTCGGAATCAACCGATGTTGGCATTGAGGTTCTTCCGCCATTTGTCGGTATCGAAGCTGCGCCTCTGAAATCGGATCTTGAGAAAGAGGTGCTGAGACATCTCCTCGACGAGGTCGGATTAAGGGTGGAAGTTATGAAGCTGCTGGGCGCGAACGAGGCAACACGATCAATGGTGGTCGCTTCGTTCCTGCTCGCAGCGACAAAGCTATTCAAGGAAGACCTATATCTTGCATCCCAACGAGACCTCAGCGGGCGCCGAGGCAATGGAGCGCTGGACTTTTCGGTCCATCCACGGGAGACGCACTCGTACACCCTTGGCGTGACGGAGGTGAAGAAGGAAAACTTTCCACAAGGCGTGGCTCAAAACATTGTGCAGCTGGAAGCGGCCCTGACATCAAAGAAACGCAAGCGCGGGACGTACGAGATTGACGGGGAGGAAGAGTCTCTGAGATCTTACGGGATTGTTACCGACGCAAGCCAGTGGCTGTTGCTTGAATGCACGCTGCATGAAGACGAGACAGTGACGTACAGGATGCAGGAGCTTGAGCGAACTATAAACTACAGCGGCAAGTGGCAGGAGGATGCGAAATTTGTATTCGAACGGCTTGTTTGGCTTTGGTCTCGCATGCGGGATGAAATACCGGCGCGCGAGAGGTACTCCCGGAAAGCGATCTCTCCACCCAGCGACAGGAAGACCACATCGTGAACTTTCACCACAAAAGATTACTGTAGCAGATTGCGCACACCATATATACTGCATTCACCCCTTCATCGCACTTGCGCCTCTCGACACATCCACTACACTTCGTTTCCACTACCACACTTTCACCACGTATCCACCACCACACTTTCACCATGCTTCCTCTGCACCACTTGAAAACTAGCATCTACAAACTACCTTGTTCAATAAATGCTCATTCTTTGCTTCAGGCTCTGTGTCGCACACTCTGTTTGCACTCATCCTGGCCAAGTATCATGTCTTCTACGTATCTTGTGCCTGTGCCTGTGCCTGTATTGTACCTGTAACTCAGGATCTCTTTTCACTCCCATGGCCATAGCCCATTGCCATAACCGTTTCCTATCCCTTCTCCCGTAACACTTTCCTTCTACTCCCCCCCTCTGTTTCCCTTTTTCTTACAAGTCTGTCTTGTATCTCCTATCATAAATGATACGTTTTTCGCACATCAGCTTAACTGCAGACACTTGTGTCCATTATGTATTATTGTATTGTTGTAAAAAACTACTCGGCGGCTTCAGTTCTTTCTCTCTCGGCCTTCTGATCTCGGCAATAGTTGATCAGCTGGTTAACAGTCCATGAGCGCTTCTTGAACAAAGTATCAAGCTCCAACATAGACCTCTGGATGGAATCCTCTTGACCCATGCTGAGATCGTTCGCTCTGATTTGGCCGGCGCGATACTCTACTTCCTCAATAACCCGTCTTTTGTTGTTAAGCTGTTTCTGGTGTTTCCTGGAGATGCCCAGTGATTTCTTTCCAGACTTTTGTCGCTCCTGCTCGAACTCTTGATACCCTTCCCAGATAGCAGCCACGCTTCCTAGTCTGTAGTTGACTGTAACGCCGCCAGTTGTTACATTGGTAGTCGTCGTAGCGGTGGTGGTTGTCATGGTCGCGGTTGCGGTTGTGGTCGTAGTCACAGATGACTGCTGGTGCACAGGCATGGCTTGAGGGTGAGGAGGCCTCGGCTGGGGCAAGGGCTGGTGCTGGGCAACTGTGGTCCATCTTGGAGGCATGCTGCTATCGGCGCTTGAGCGAGTCTTCGAAGAAAAGAAGGGGCCGGTAGCTCAGATTGGACGCTGAAAGGAGCGGATGCTGATGGAGCGGGAGTGAATCCGCAAGCGTGCTGCTGCTATGACCATGAGGGTGAGGGTGCTGGGTTTGGTTGCCAAGATGAGTCAGAAAAGCCAGGAGTGGAGTGGCCAAGCCGGTTGATCATATAATCCAACTTGGACTCAATTCGGGAAGCGGTCTCCTTGAAAACGTTCATGCCATAATCAAACACGGTGTCCCAATACATCATGGCTTGATCCAAGCGCTCAGCTGCTGTCCTCCGAAGCCCTTGTAATTCGCATTCCATGCTCTCAAAACTCCCTGGCAGCTTTGCCATTATCTCCCCTTGCCGAACGATAAGTCGTTGTTGGTCCTGTAAAACCATCTTCACATTGGGATGCATGTCCGCCGGCAATGCCATATCTTTCGAACCCAACGCTGCTTTTACCTGCTTTTTAAAGGCTTGGAAAGCTGGTGTCCCGAACACCCCAAAGGCCAGGAGAGGTGATTCCACGTCCGTGAAACTGCACAAGTACTCTGCAGCATCCTGAAGGATCACTCGTCGTAGACGAAGAAGTGCTTTTAAAAAACCCTTTTTCGTCGGGTCAGATTGTCGAGTGTTGGATAGGACAAAACCTCGCGCGCTCGGATCGTACGGTAGAGGCAAAACGCTGCCGAGCTGGGAAGAATCATTAGCGTTCCTCTCCTCCATTTCGTGTATACACTCTACTTGCCATTCGTCGTACTCAGGGCTGCCTGGAGGTCCAAATGCGGCCTCGATGAAAGGAAAAATTTGTCGTTGCAGGTCCAAGCTAGGCGAGACCTCGTTCCGCTTGAGATGAAATGGTACCTGTCCGCCAAGAAATCCAGCCATCTGAACTGCGAAAAAGTAAGCGGGTTCGTCATCATAGTACACGTCCATTTTGCTGGAATGTTGTATCCAACGGCCAGCATTCCTGATATCCTCTTGCCTGATTCGTAACATCTTGGCCTTGGCCTCGCTCGAGCCGCTATGACGGTCAGAATGAGTGATGTGACGGCACGACACGCGCTGACGTTGGAAACAGCTCCTTGTAGCGTCCCCTTGACTCTCATAGGATACCCTATCCTTCACGTTAGGCCAGGAGTGGATGAGCTTTGTACTGTGCCAATCAGGATCATTAAAATCCGGCAGGGTTTCGCGTTTGACCTAAAGTCAAATCGAAAAAGACATGAAGAAAAATGGGGCCACAAAAGGTAAATGTCAGTGTCAGACCTTCCTACACCAATTCGACATTACATAAAAAAGAAGAAAAGTTAGCAAACATGGAACAGGTCGTAAAAATAGAACCCGAGCGATCCAATACTGCAGCGGCGTACATCAGTGTGCCTGCAAGATACGCCATATAAAATCTTGCCTGACCTGTTGGTTTTGTCCATGTGGAAAGTAGCCATCAGGTATACCAGACGTTGGGTACCCCCCACTACTTTGGTGGCAGGGTCCATGAAGATGTCCGAGTAATTGAGCCCTCGAAGGTCCTCGTCTCTTAGGACCATGGAATGTCTGATCGCTAACGACAGATGCAATCTCATTGCGGGTGATGTATCTGACACGGGTTGTTGCCATGCGTCTAAAAGACATCTACCGGAACAAAATACATAAGGTATTGCGCCTTGCAACCAAAATAATTAATTCGGACAGCTAAACCTTGATTAAGTTGCTGTTCACAACTAAAATTTTGTTCCGCGCCTGTGTACACTCCGCTCTCCACTGGACTTTGTTGGATTAGTTTAAATTTTTTTTGACTCATTTTGTTAGAAAGGCACAATATATGCATATCTAATAATACATTATTCTTCCTTGCCAGGGACTCTATCTGTGTGTATCTTTCTTTTATTATTAGCCGTGACTTCCGAAAAAAAAAAAAAAAAAAAAAAGAATTAATCTATTCACACAGGGCTGTGTGACCTTATTCTCACAGGGACTGTCGGAATAAGACGAAAATTAAAGCGTTTTTTGATTTTCACAGGGTGTGTCCTCTATTAACACACAGGGTCATTTTTTTTTTTTTTTTTTTTTTTTTTTGCTTGTCCATCTTGTCTTCCCATAGGCATGCTGCCAATGATGGACCCTCATTCATTATTTACCTATCTTGGACCTTCGCTTTACTGGTGATCATAACAACAATCTCCCGTCTCCATTTATAACCTCTCCCCAAACGTTTTTTGCTCATTGTTGTTGTTATTCGTGCGCTCGATTTATCCTACTGATCAGCAGCTGGCCTAGGGGTGGGCAAGCACAGATTGGGGATGATCCAGCAACTGATATAGGGTCAAAGACTGACCAGGTCTTTTTTCTGAGACTGCTCGGGTCTTTTTTTTTCGTACATTGAGACCGCTCGAGTCTACGTCACCGTCTCTCTTGATCGCTGTTGCTACTTAGTTGGTGGCATCAGAATAAAAGTTGCTAGTTTCTAACAAACTCAAACAAACAGCGCCTTGCGATAGGCGAGCCGATTGATATTTAACTAGCAACTCTCTCTCCCGGGGTCAAGCCTGAGACGTCAGAAAGTAGCATTCGGGGCGCTGGGGTCAGGATAGTTGAATTTTGTTGAATTTTGTTTTGCTCTCATTTTTGTAGCGCAGCATCGGTCGCATATGCATGCTTTTGTTTTGTAATCCTCTTCGCATTTCTTACCCATAGCCTTTTTTTCTTTTCAGTACCTTTTCTTTATATCTTCCCCGCATTTCTTGCCCATAGTCCTTTTTTGCTTCACCCTTTCTCCTATACTCTTGTGGTTGCATGAAAAAACAGTGGAACAATCATCTTGCGTTACAATATTGCTTTCGTACCTGTACATTCCACCTGCTAAAGGGTGCTCTGTATGTTAGCACACTCACACATTCTCTTACCAGGAAAGATAATGTACATCAACAGTTCAAAATACACTCTTCTCCAGGGGATGTGGAAGTCCGTCCTGAGATTCTTCTCTCTTCCCATTTCAACTATCACACAACATACATACACACTTGATCCCACTCCTCACTTGTATACTCTTCAATAAACTTATTTTACAACTGCTCTGTCTTGATCTTTTGCTTCCCGGATTCATTATTTAATGAGAGACTTAGAAGTGAATGTATGCGACAGAGAGGGATATAGAGTACAAGAGGGATGTAAAAAAGGTACGTTTTTTTTCAATACAAACTTACGCTATCTACATATGCAACAGGACCCAGCTTTTCTTTCTTTTTTTATTCTCTTTCTTCCTAACCACGACAGGGGCGAAGTGGTTATTTCTTTCTTCTTATCGCTATACAATTAGGAAGGAGTGACGTCTTTTCTACAACTTTTTGCATAGTGGCCGAATGCACCGCATCTCTTACACTGATTCTGGCGAATCCTGACCGCTCCACCACTTTTAGAGCTGGGCTGGTCTGCTGCAGCCTTAATGGCAGCGTTACTTGGCCGTCCTTTGGATGCGACAAAGAGTGGGTTCTTGGTGTTGGCAGGCATGTCATCATGTGGCGTGAATGAGTGGGTCAGGTACGCGTTGTCCTCCACGGGTCTATATGCCAAACCTTGGATTTGCGCGACTTGCAGGCTCATGTCCCGCAATGTTGTCATCACAATGTCATGCATGGCTGGATTGCCACACGCCGCAACATTGATTGACTTGGACAAGACCGACATCTCGTTATACCGGTTCTTCTTGCGGCGCTGGTCCTTGTTGGTTACAGGGACAATGGAGTTGGCGGTGATTCCGGTTCCAACTGCATTCGTGTAGGGCGCAGAGGAGCAAGGCAACTTGTCAGACTTATTGGATCGAGCATTCCTTGCTTTCATAAGTCGGTCGGTGAGCAAGAACGGGCTGTTTCTGACGGCAGTGTCGAAGTCTGGGTCATCTTGCCACTCCTTTTTGAACCATCTTTTGGAGATAGCCCTGATGTGGTAGCGACACTCGGGGGTGTGTTGCATGATTCGAAAGAAATGTGAACAAACGACACCAGAGTTTTGATGGAGCAGGCAGGTGCAGAAGTATTCGTCGTTTTCGAACACTGCCACAAATTCCGGCTGCTCATCTACGGCTCTGTTTGTTATCTTGAACACATGGGCGATCGCTCCTGCGTCCATGCGGGCGATCATACCTGCAAGGGATGACACACGGCGACCTTCTCTCGTCTAATATTAAACAGTCAAGTATAAAAAACAAGTTATCAATGCGTGTGCAAAATCAAAACAATAAAGGATGAACATATATATCAACTGAAAAAAAGAGAAAAGAAAGTTACCTGCTCCTTCTCCTCGGCACCGTAACAGGCCTCGAGCTGGTCAAGCATAGAGAGGGAAATGTCGTAGACGAACGACCTTGCCATCTCACGCCACATCTTGAACTGTGCATATTCCCCCAGCTTGATCGAGTTCTCCACAATGATGCGGGTGAACATGTTCCTGACAATGCCGTTTTCCAAGCCTCGTTCGGTGGCAAGAATAAACGCATACCTTCCAGCCACGTCAACTGTGTGCTTGGACTCGAACAACTTCTCGGCATGGATTTTGGAGACTGTGGCTTCAAACACGGTGCTTAGTGACGCATTCGAGTTGAGGTCAAACAACTTGAGCAGATGATTGGTCTTCTCCACGCGCTGGGTAGATTGCATACCGGCAGTAAAGCTGGTGCGAACCCAGGGCCATGCCCAGCGCGCTCGATCCTCGTGGATCTTTGTGAGATATCCACGAACCTTGGTGTTGTCGCCGAAGGAGGAGAGGAGGTCGGCCCAGTTGTGGTCAAATTCGGACGGAGTAAGCGACCGGGCAGTAGCTATTAGATCGGACTCAAAGGCTGACCAGCGGACACCCAGGGTCTTGTGCAACTGTTGGAAGCGGTTCCTACCAGCATGCCAGACGCAGTTATAGACAGCGGTATTGGGGAGTACCTTTTCACAGGCAGTTTCCATCGCAAGATCCTTGTCGAGCATGATACCATCGGGAGGGACACCATCAGTAGCTGTAAGTAGTTGTTGCAGCACCCAACGACAGTCCTGGATCTTCTCCCCAGACGTGAGAGCCGAGGCCACAAGCCTTGTCCTGAAAGCGGAATCGACGACGACAAAGTTGTGCATGGCCATGTTGAACTTGTTTGTTGATTGGGTTGTGTCGTGGACGATAATGTCATGGTATCGATCGTAAAGGGCCACTTGGTCTGGAGACATCCAGAAGACAGCGCGGACATGGCCTTTTGCATTGATGGCATAGCGTAGAAACCAGGGCGACAACGATAGGGTATGGCTGTTGGCAATCTGCACACACTCGAGCATGCTCTTGAGCTGGTTCTCCCGGATCGGACCAAATTCCCGCAGTTTGTCCCTCTGACACTTCTCCATATATCTCTTAACTTCCAGCGCATCCAGGCTGGATTTCTGGTGATGGAAGGCAAGTAGACCATGAATAAAGGGCAATCGGTTCCCAATGGCAACAGCTTGTTTTATCTGATCCTTCATCTCGTCCGTCAAGGGATCAAACGTGTTCTCAGAAGGAGGTATGAGGACGTGGTTGTGGTCGGGCAGAATTCGAGTGATTCTGCAGCGAGGAAAGATTGCTTTGTTGGTCCTTAGGTTGATCCTGTAGTTGCAGTTGGTCTTGGACGATGCTTTGTTTCGATGGACTTCCGGGTTCGGGTTCTTGATTGACTCATGGTAACCAGCGTTGGAGCAGGCAATGTGCGCTTTTTTTTAGGCAGTAACGAGAGCCAAGAAAATAAAGAAAGGAAACGAAGGTTAGACTTTTTTTCAACTGTAGTAAAAGGCAGTGCTCTCTCTCAAAGAACTATTGGTATACATACCCCATCCTTCTTTTGCGCTCGAGTGAGGAGATGAAAGTTTGAAGCCATGCGCTTTTGCATAGCTGTCAAGGCAACGTCTTGCTACTTTGAAGTCGTCGAACTCGTATCCAAGCGCTGGCTCCCAGTCCTTGGCCAAAGTCTGGCTGGAGATAGAGGTCTCTGTGTCTAAAATAAAATAAATGTGGGCATGTTAATCTCACCAGTCGTTTTATCTCAACTCCAATTGGTCCCCGACGTTTTTGTTGTTTTTTTATTTCACTTTGTTCCAAAAGCATAACAAGACAACAGACCATACCTTGTGATGGCAAGGAGTTCCCTTTCTCCCTTCCCTCTCCATCAACAACGCGTCCCTTCTCTCCATCTCTGCCCTCTTCCTCATCTTCCTCGTCCTCGACCTCCCCCTCCTCAAGAACGAACTTAGACTCCCTCCACCACAGTCCACGATCAATCATATGAGGCTGATTCGCCTGCTGGCGAGATCCAGAACTCTCTCCAATCGCCATCTCGCCCAAATCATCGTCGCTGTCCCTGTCACTGTCGTTGCCATCGTCTAAATTACGTCTCCCGTCAGAGTCGCTGTCGCCGTTAACAACGCTACAACAGTAATCACCATCAAGGCTGTTGCCATCACTACTACTGTTGTTACTGGTGCCATCAAGCTCGGTGTTGCTGTCGCCAGCGTCGCTGTCGTCACCGGGATCCGTTTTGCTGTCG